CCGATAAGCAAAAGTTAAACCAAGTAAAACTTTTTGAAAATAGTGATGGTCCCCAAGGACCATCATACTCAAACAGACCATCACCTATTTAAAAGCATCTTTTCTCTTCTTTTTTTTTTTTTTTGAAATTTTTGGATTGTTACAAAGGGTTAATAGGTGAGATGGGCATTCTATGCAAGTCCATAGAACTATTTTGTGACAATATGAGTCCATTTAACCAAGAACTTAGTTCACCACAGGAGGTCAAGGCACATATTGGTTCAATATCACTATATCCGGCAAATTGTTGAAGATGGAAGAGTTCGATTGGTCAAGATCAAGACCGAAGGCAACCTTGCAGATATGCTTACGAAGCTCATCCAAGTAGACAAGTTAGAATGGAGTCTAACCTCTCCAGGTTTCAAGAAAGAAAAAAAGTGATGGATTGGCAAGGCAAGGGTGTGATTTTGCATCAAGGTAGGGATTGTTGGGGCATGATGCCAAATCACAACCTATGTAATATTCCCCCTCTTCTTGAAGGGCAATTTCATCATTTTGGATGGGGGCTTTTAAAAAGGGGCTTTATAAAGAGAGAGACGTGCAGATGAGATGGAGAGAGAGAAACAACTGCGAGGGTGTGAGAAAAAGGGAAGCGCACGGCTGTGAGAAAATGGAGGTGAAAACATAGAGAGAGATTTGGGGAGAAAATTTAGGGTTTTTGCTACAAAACCCTAACGCGACCATTGGGGCTCAAATTTGGCCGTTTTTGTCGGCATTTCTTCACGGCTACGGTGAATCAAAGAAAAGAGTCGATTACATGCGGTTTTATGGTAGGAAGTTCTTTGTTTTAGCATTCTTTGAGATTGTATGAGGTAACTCTATATAACCCCAATCTTGTAAGTTTTCCTCTTGATAGTGAATACACCTTTGCCATCTTGCCCGTAGATGTAACTCATTTTGGGTGAACCATGTATTTGTACGTGTCCCTCTCTACTTTCATTTATGTTGTGCTTTAATGATTTCTCATATTGTTTGTTTTATTGTTTTTATATTTTTCTTAATTATTTGTACTCGTTATTACATCTTCGGCATATTATTTGAGTGTTGAAATCATTGTGTAGTGCTCTCTACTTCTAGTGGGATTTAAGATATCTCGATTTGCTCAAAAGAGGTGATTGGGTTATCCCAATTTTACAATAATATGGCCACCCGGGTCTTTGAAGGGATTTATGACTTAAAATATATCACAAGTCATTGTAACTCCATCTCCACCTCATATCAATGAGTTTGAAACTTCAAAAACTGTACATTTGCAAAGTTCAAGTAATTTTTTAAAGTTCAAATCATTTTTACCAAATAGTAAAACATGACTAGTCCTCTAAAAATTTTGAATCCAGAATATCCCCAAGATGATTTTGAAAGGGCGGACTCATTACAATAAGTGGTCCCAAGGCGTACCTTGCATCTTAGTTTTTTTGCCTACCCATGACATGGTCCAAGACATGGAGAGGTCGGAATGGCACAATTACCTGCACTCATCTCATGAAACTTTTGCCTCACTCTTTGACTTTACATTGAATCAATCAATATATGATAGGAAGTAGGTGGCTTTATTATCATATATTAATAATATTAAAAATAATGATTTTGAGTTGATTAGGATTTAAATCTTGAAATTTATCAAATGAATGGTTTAGATTTATTGTCGAAAAAAACTCATTTCAACTGCACCTCGTGTGAAAAGTAAATTTCAAGAGAGAGAGCATCACGTCCAAACTTTCCACTGCTCTCTTTCTCTCTCTACTTTTAACAGTGGCTTTTCTCTGCACTCAGCGACTCTGTTAATCATTTTTGTCATGGAGTGTGAGTGAGTGACTGTATTTTGCAAAGCGAACCCACAATAACCACGAGAGTTGAAATAACTACGCATTTTCGTAAAGACCATGACCACGGCCTCATTGATTGGAGCAGGTTCGTGATCACAAGGGCAAAACCGGTCGGTGGCTGACAACCATGACTAAAGCTTTCCAGAAAGGACCCGGTGTCTATGCCGTCAAGCCTGCATATGTAGAAATACGGGCCTATTGATAAATCTATTTTGGTGATGGATTTTAAGATTTAATTTTTAAGGATATGCAATTTCTAAGATGGAGATCATGAATGTAAAAAAATAAATAAATTTTAAAAAATAAAAATAATAACTCTGGTAAAAAAACATTTGGGCTGTTAGCTTCCATTACTTTTAGATGGACCTTCTACTTGCAACCTTTTTTAAGATGGATCTACACTTTCTCAGCCACATATGTAGAAATGCGGTCCAGCCCGCATGAAACAATTTTCCTGTTAAAAAGGATAATATTTTTATGGAATCTAAAATGATTTTTTAAACTAAATAATGTCTACTTTTTTTTGGATTATCTACACTGGTGTTCAGAATTTTTCTACTTTCCATTAAACAATAGAAACAATAGGGAATTAATTGATTAGTCAGCACACCAAGATAAAAAAAGCATTCAACAAGGACCATTATTAAAAAACAAAAAAAAACAAAGATTGACTGGGTGAGTAAATCTATGGTCCCAATAGAGGAAACAGTTTGTATAGAGCCGAGGCTCTAAACAATCAAATTAGAGGCCACCTCAAAAATTTCACTAGAAAAAGTTGTTTTGATGCCCAAATATCCTCAAATTGATCATCTTGACATCAAATGCACGGACATGAGAAAAATGGATTTCGAGTTTTGAAAATAGTGCATCTTGTACCGCATTTTTGGATAGTCAATTTTCAAAGTTTTTATATTTTTATAGATTTGTCGATCTACACTATTTTTGAAGCTTAAACTTTATAAATAAAGTTAAAAATATATTTTAAGGCTATCACAAATATTTCTAGTATTGAAACCACATTTCTTGATACTATTTGAAGGTAGGCTCTAATTTGATTGTTTAGAGCCTAGGCTCTATACATACCGCACCCTATAATCTTGAGACATTGATTCTTTCAAGTGCATAGAGGATACAACTAGGAAATTTTTTATTGAGGTTATTCTATGGGTTGAAGAAGTTACATCCGCAAAATTTGAGGTCCTAAAATTAATTATAGATAGGGTATTGGAGTAAATGAAATACTTTGCATGTCACCAAAAAAAAACCCAAACAAGCACTCTGGAAAATGAAATAGAGAAAAATGAAATAAACAAAGCTAACCAATACCTAAGAAAAAAAGATGAGGAAAAAAAAATGGGATAACCCCATTAAAATTCCAAAAACCGATTAAACTGATAAAAAAAGAAAATAAAATAAAAAACGAGAGGAGAGAGGAGAGAGCGGGGAGAGAGACTAAAAGTGGGTGAATAATGGCCTCCATCCTTGAGGAGATCCTTAGTTGAGACCGATTGCTTCCAATGCGTCCTCGCATTAAGCAAGGAAGAGGATGGAGAAGAAGTTTTGTTAACATAATAAAATAAATAAATAAATAATGTTGCCTTTAGGGTACATTGCATTATATATGGTAGAGCATGGGCATCTGAGATCTTTTAAAGAAGAAATTCGTCGTATCTAAGTGTCCAATAAACTCATAGTTCATTTTTTTTAGAAATTGATCAATGGTAATAACCAGGTGGATCCGAAACATTCAGTTTGAAAATAATTTCCTTAAGTATCTCTTTTACCCGAAGGAATAGTACAGTATCGTCCCATGAAAGCACAGTATACATTCTCATCCAAAGAAATCGTAAGCCTTCATTCCTCCATTCAATATATAGGGTTCATTGTATTATTTGAGCTAGGCCATAAGCGTCACATAATAAAGCAACAAAGTTATCTCCATCGTTTGCGTCTTTTTTTCTTTTTCTTTTCTAATGTGTAGGGTATTACAATCAATAAAAGCATCTTTTAACATGTCTTACCAGTACTCGAACCTATTATTGATTGACACGTTTTGTGGAACCCAACCAGTATGGATAAGAGTGATTTATTTAAGGACTTTTAAATTTTAAATAAAATACGAAACCCTACGCTTATATGCGGAAATTAAATCAATCTAACTTTTTTTTTTTTTTTTTCAAAATTAGCCCTTGTGAATCTGAATTTGATTTTTTCTATTTATTATTTTATTTTTGTTGTACTTCTTTTACTTTTTTTGTTAGTAGGGTAGTGCCTCAAACATTACGACAGTTCCTTACTAACAAAAATTAAAATAAAAATAAATAAAATAAAAAATCCAGGTTGATAGAAGGGAAATTTCGGAAAAAATAAAAAATGGGCTGACGGACATTTGTAATTCCTGCATGGAGCATTTTGTATTTTACGTAAAATTAAAATTTTAAAATCCCTGCGTAGATCACTCAAATAATAATTAAGAATGTAAGTGTAAGTAGATTTCAAGCCTTCGAAAAGCTTTTATGTAAAACCACAGTGCTACAACCGTTAACAAGTAAAGATAGATGAGCCTCTGTTTGTGACCATTCTCATCTCCTTGCTAACAAACTGTTCACCGGCTCTTCTTGGGTCCTTCAAAAGTCTCTCTACTGTAAATTTGTAACCTCTCCTCTTTGAAATTTTTCTTGCCAATCTCTCTCCACAATCAAATTTATAACCTCTCTTGCAAATTTTGCTTCCCAATCCTCCATCCGCAATTCTTCTCTTATTACCCGCTTCAATTTTTCCTTTCAAGATGACTCTATCTGTGAGTCTTGGAGACATTGTTACCAAATATGTATGTGATCCTATTTGTGGCCAGATTCCTTACTTGCTAAAACACAAAAGGAATGTAGAGGAACTAACAGAAGCAATAGATGAGCTAACGAGCAAGCCGAATGACATACAGAGAGAAGTAGCCACACTTACTGGTGCTGGAAAGATTAATACATGCCAAATAAATCAATGGTTGGAAGCAGTCGGTGAAATTGAAGAAGAAGCAACAAGAATAAAAGATGAGTATGAACAAGGAAGGACATGCCTAAGAGGGCTAGGTACAAATTATTGGTCAAGCTATAGACTCAGCAAGAGAGCCGTGAAGCTCAAGATAAAGGCCGACCGCCAATGTGAAAAACTCTTTGAGAGGTTAGCAATAACTCCACCTCCGGAGTCTGCCATAGATTTAGAAACCGGAACCATCGAGGATCAACCCACAGCTAAACACACTAAGGAGGAGGTTCTCAACTACATAGCTGATGACAGGATCAGTGTGATTGGTGTGTATGGAATGGGGGGAATAGGGAAGACAACTCTCATGGAAAATGTCAATAACCACTTAACATTCCAAAAGAAAAAAGAGTGTCAATAATCATCTGATCCCTCATTTTGATGTTGTGATAATGGTTACAATCTCTGCACATCCAAATTTTGAACTTATACGGGAGAGGATTGGAAAACTCTTGCACTTGAATTTGTCAATGCATGATGATGTTGATGATAAAAAACATAAGTTGTTAAATGTTCTGAGGACAAAGAGGTACCTAATAATCTTGGACGACATGTGGAAGAGATTGGATCTCAAAGAAATAGGAATACCCCAACCAAAAAAGCAGGATGGTTGTAAAATTGTCGTGGAGAGTCGAAGAAAAGATGTATGTCACAACATGCAAGCTGAGTGCATAGTTGAAGTAAAAAAACTATCAGACGAAGAGGCATGGAGTTTATTCCTTAACAATGCCGGTCATCATATTTCTTCTCAATTGACAGAACCGCATGCTAGAAAGGTTCTTAAAAAGTGTGGGGGATTGCCCCTCGCGATCATCACTCTTGCTCGGGCTATGCCAAGCAAGGAGAGTAAGGAGGCATGGGAAGACGCCCTACGAATATTGAACATGTCAGCTGCAGGTCTCCAAGGTATGGATGATGCATTTGGCCCTTTAAAGTTTAGCTATGATCGTCTAGATACAGATGACGTTAGATCTTTCTTCTTGTATTGTGCCCTTGTTCCCCAAAGACTGCTCAATTGGAAAATTCAACATAATAAACTGCTGTATAGGAGAAGGGGTAATAGATGATACAGAAAGCCTAAAAGCCTTTGAAAATAGAGGGTATGCAATGATCGAAAGCCTCAAAGCAGCATGCAGGCTTCAAAATGGCTATTTCAAAAATCAATTAAACAACATGATATGATGTGTGAACTGGCTATTGGAATCACTTCTGCTGGGCCTGGGGATAATCCTAAGTTTTTAGTGCTATCTGGTGTTGGTTTAAAGCAAGTGCCGGAGACTTCCAGATGAAAAGATGCAAAGAGAATTTCATTGATGTACAACAATCTAAGTAGCCTACCAGAATTGCAAGAATGCCCAAAACTTGTTACATTGCTGCTTCTAGGGAATGAAGATCTAGTGGCCATCCCCACAAATCACTTCTTTGAATGCATGCCCAAGCTTCGTGTACTTGATCTGTGCTTGACAAATATTGAATCTCTCCCATATTCAGTGTCACACTTAGTGAACCTCCGTGTTCTTATTCTATGCAGATGTAAAAAGCTGAAAAAGTTACCACCAACAATAGGAAAGCTCAACCAACTCCAAATGTTAGACCTAGAAGGATGTACAGCTATTAAGGAGCTGGATTCTGGGCTAGCTGAGCTCACTAATCTAATATTTCTCAATCTTTCTGCTATGTCTGGACTTAAGAGTCTTCCAACAGGTTTATTATGTAGTTTGGTTAATTTGGAGTACTTGAATGTTTTCATATCTGGAGGTTTAAAATGGAGTACGGCTCGTAGCATACTAGAGGAGAGCTGGATGAGTGCATGGGAGTTAACCCGGTTGGTTTGTTTATCTTATCCAAGCATTTGTATAAAAGGCGTTATGGATTGGGATTGGCTCAAGTTGTTTCCCCAGAGATTACTGTGCTTGGGTTTAACGGATTGTACTTTGACAAATGATGCATTTGTTGCTTCAGAAGAATCACAAAGCATTGAATTTTTTTCTTTCCTGAATTGCAAGGGTATGAAAGGTGCCCCTAGTCCCCGTTTGGGATATCTTGAAATAAAGGGCTCTAAGGATTTGGAATGTGTGATGGTTGGAGAGGAGGCCAAAGAGCATAGCTTCCAAAGCTTAGAGGTGACGTACCTTGAAATGTTGCCCAAATTGGAGAGGATATGTATTGGGGTGCCACCTCATGTATGCTTTGGTAAGCTAAAGAATATGAATGTAGAGAAATGCCCAAGTTTGAGAGTTCTCTTCACAAATGGTATGGTGCAATAGCGCAAAAATTGGAAGAGCTAAGCGTTGTAGAGTGCATGGGAATGGAGGAAATTATAGAAGAAAATGTGGAAGAGAATGGATTGACAAATTTGAGATCTGTAACACTAGTGGGCCTACCGAAAATGGTTGTTATACGCAATGAAGTTTTGGCTTGGGAATCACTAGAGTTGGTTGCCATTGTTCAAGGTCCAATGTTGAAGAAGCTCCCATATGGCCTCCTAATAGCAAAGAGGCTACAAGCCATTGTAGTAGAGAGAGAATTGTTGACAGGTTTGGATGAATTAGAGCAAGGCACCATACGGTCCCTTCGCCAACTCAAAATCATTGAAGACATGGGATTTGGAGTGGAGGTTCATCCTCATATGGTGGATCCAAATGTGGAAATCCCCATTGTCCCCTCTTCTATAGGAGATCGTCTAGTGGATCCAAACATGGAAATGCCCCCTGGCCCCTCTTCTCTTTGGGAACAAGAGCAGGGTGACCCCTTTGAGGATGAGATCACGAAAAATGTGTTGCCAATTGAAGTTTCCTCTTCTAAGGGGAAACAAATTGTTGTTTGCAACACTGGTGTCTCCCCTTTGAAAATGGAATTTGGTGTCTTTCGTTCGTGTCCCCTTGTTATCCGGGAGAATTCTTCCCAGCCCCTCGATGAACCAGTCGATGTTGATGCTCAGAGCGATGTTGCAAACTCTGATAGGCAAGATGTTTGGAGCTTCGCATTCTCGGACTATGAAGATGAGGATGTTTCAGAGTGAGATCTTCAGGAAGAGAGCATCCCAACAGTAAGTCGAATCAATATCCATTCTTGTATATCAATACTTCATGAAATTTGTTTTTTGTTTTTGTAACTAATTTCCACTCTTGCATGCCAATACCCTCTTTATTGGTTCATGCTTCTCATCTTGTCTTTTAAAGTTTTAGGTCGGTTTAAGTGTGATATACAATTTAGAGCAAATTACATACATACACTTTTTTGAGGGGTGGGTTATCACAATTTGATGATATTGTTGCCATAAATTACAAGTACCACCCCAACTTATTTCTTTTTCTTAGATGTGTCACTGTCCGGCAATAACAACACTAGACATGAAGGTCTATTCTAATTTCAAATGCAAAGAGTTGTCGGGCATTAGTATTACCGGATAGCTAATTTCAAATGTAAAGAGTTATCGGGGGTTAGTATCACCGGACAGCTAAAACTTTCATATGAAATTTTGTAGCTCATTACAGCATTTCTTCTTTCTCAAATTTTGCCAGTTCTTTGGGCAGTAAAATGCGTTTGTCGTCAAAAGCATCTGTTCCTTTACCAGAGAACATAAGAATCTCTGGTCCTTAACAGCATTTCTTCTTTCTCAAATTTTGCCAGTTCTTTTGCCAGTAAAATGCGTTTGTCTTCAAAAGCATCTGTTCCTTTACCCGTAGATAGGAGTTTTCCTGCAAGGCTCAGGTCAACTATCTTGAAATTCCAATTGATTTTCTGATCGATGAATATTACTATGCTGCTTTTTATAAAGCTTTTAAATTATTTAATCAAAATGCTTTGTGGTTTCTTTGAACTCAAGGGAAAATAGACACATTACGTAAATTATTTACGGATTTGTTGACAAGCAAGCATATATCTTCTCTGCTAAGGGAACCAGCTTCAGGTCACTCTAAATTTCTCTCTTTTGTGTAAATCTCTCCCTCTCTTTCTAGTTTCCTTCATGCAGCCTTTTATACAGTCCTTTGTGCTGCAAGGTTTTGATTAGTGAAGGTGATTAATATGTCTTTTCTCTCCTCATTTTAACGATTTCTCTGCAATTCAAACCAATTGATGAAATTCAACAGTTGCATTTGTTTCAATGCTTTGTTTATTTTCCATCTTCTTAAGGCTTTATATCCCTCTTTCAAGTATTTTTAATGGTGAAAGTCTTATCTCTCTCCTTAATCGAAGTCTAGATCGTTGTTCAGTAAACTAAAGGTAAATTGGTTTGTAGAGATTTCAAAAAGCTGTCTAATAATACAAACACCGGACAACAAAGAACTACACTTAATAAAGGAAAGGAGGTTGTCCGATAATACAAATTCCAAACAACTCTTTGCGTTTGAAATTAGAAAAGGCCCTCATGTTGTCATTGCCAAACAGGAGGACAACTAAGAAATACAAATAAGCCGGGGGGGTGTTCATAATTTATAGCAATAATATCATCAAATTGTAGTAACTCCCCGTACATAATTTGCTACAATTTATTTTTAAAAAATAGAGATTGGGTTTATCGGCAAGGGTTGTAGTGAATGATGGCCAAGGCGAAGGGGATTTGTAGCTTAAGTTTAATGAATGTTTCCCTGTCATTGACTATTTTACCTTTAATTATAAATGGTTACTAAGGTTATGAGAGAAAGAAAGTGCGGTTATTAAATACATGGCCAATAGTTGTTAACCTTGTTTCAAAAATCAAAACCAAAGTCTTAGAAAACTTACATCGAGTGTTTACAATGAGATGTTAGTAACTTAATATTAAAAACAGCCATATCTCGCATAGGTTGTTTTCCTTGAAATAACTTCGATTTGGTGGAGCAACAAAAGTCGAAATCATCCCTCCATGGATAATTCAACAGATGACCCCTCATAATGTTTGCTTGATGCATGCATAAAGCGGTATATTTGAAAGTAGGACAAATGCAATGGTTGAAATATTGAATAGTGCATCGCTTATGTGTTGTTTGATCGTTTTTGCAAAATTTCTAAACCCCTTGATTATGTAATAATTATGGAAATCTGTTTCTAGGTGCTTGCTCATCTCAGGAGAATCACTTATCTGTCGAGGTGGAGGTCCATGGAGGTTCTTCCAAATATCAGTTGTCTATGCTTCTCCAACGAAGATGAGACGCTCAAAATGAAAGTGTTCGCAACACATACCGAAAGGGTACCAATTAGCCAACCATTAATGACTAGTTCGCACACCAGTAGCAGTCTGATCAAATAAGGGATTAGACCGTTCTTATAAACATGAAACAAAACCAGTCCTCTTATATTGATGCTTTCAGTGTGCCATCTCAACCTCATGTTGTAACCGCTCAACTCATTGACAAGCTGGTGCCCATCCAAAGGAAAGCAGATTTAGTCTCTGATTTTCATGTTCATGCACTTCACAACAGTTGTTGCTTCTCGGAATGGTGATTTGGCCAATAATAAGTGTGTTTTCCAAATACTAAGTCCTCTTGTATTTGCCAAGGATAAATCAGCTGATGTGCATGGTGGTATGACTTCTCAGAATATGAAAACTTTTTGGCGAGAAACTTTAAACATTTATGATGCCCTACTGTAGTGGTTAAAACTTTTACCATAAAAGGTTGATCTCCCACTCCCTTTCTAATGTACCCCTTGTGGGAAAACCCCAATACAATGCAATAGAATTGATTTCAATCTTTTTGTGTCAATGTTGTACTCCAGCTTTGTTTATTGCCTTTCTGAGTTAGTTTATAGAGAAATTTACATGCGGACTATATTGGTTGTACAATTACAAAATGGGATCACGTTTGTTCCAAATTATGGGAAGCACCACTTTTTTCAGAGTTTTTTTTTTTACAAGTTATCGCCTGTCCATTAATGCGAACACCGGACAAAACAAAACAGTTGTCCAGTGTTTGAAATACCAAACAGCTATCTGCTATCCCTAAAACCAACAAGCCCTCTCTCTCTCTCCAAACATCGTGGCTCTGTCTACTTTTTTTAAAATAATCTCTCTCAACCTTTCTCTCTCTCAGCCCTTCTCTCTCACACACCCTCTCTATCTCCCCAAACGATCTCAATCCATATAAGAAGAAATTATTTTGCATAATAACAAAATCATAATTAAAAAATCGTAATACGAAATATGCAGAGAGCGAGAGAGAGAGAGAGAGATTTTCATAGGTATTGCACTTTAGAGAGAGAGAGAGAGACAGAGAGATCACCTAACGTGATCATGAACACGATTGGAAAAGAAAAGGGCAGGTTGAGAGGTGGAAGAGAAATAAGATCATGAACACAATTGGAAAAGAAAAGGGCAGGTTGAGAGGTGGAAGAGAAATAAAGGTGAGCAGCAAGAGCTGCAAAAGCTCCATCAGGGCAACGGTAGTAGTAAAGAACTCCTGCTTTCATATCGCCTTTACCCATCTGTTTATTTTAAACCAAACATGCCCTTAATTGGTTCGAGTTTAAAACTACGGCCCCCATGGCTAGATTCAAGAACTTGAGCATGAACTAGTGAGGAAGGAGAGATGGGGTAAAAATAAACCGTGGTTCAAAACTTCAAATAAGAGGAAATTTTTCATAAAATTTAGGTTTAAGAAGAGAAGAATGGAAAACTTCAAACAAGAGAAAATTTTCATTAAATTTAGGTTTAAGAAAAGGATAATGGTTATCAATTGAAGAGGGAAATTGGGTTAAAAATTATCTGTGATGCACAGATTCTGGTTTTATGCTTAATGAAGGATGTTGGTTAGAAAGAGAAACACGCAGAGAGAGAGATGTATCGCTCTTCTCTTCATTTTATTTTGCATGATGAAGTGTTTGAAGCATTGAATAAAAGTGATCGTTTGCTTATTGTAAGGTTTAGGGGGGGCACATCGAGAGAGAGAGAGAGTTTATAGGGAGAGAGAGAGACGTTTGCTTATTGTAAGGTTTAGGGGGGGCACATCGAGAGAGAGAGAGAGTTTATAGGGAGAGAGAGAGACAGAGAGTTTAGAAGGAGAAAGAGAGAGATTGTTTTGGGGGGAGAGAGCATGAGATAGAGAAGGGTTGAGAGAGTGCAGACACCCCATTTTAAAACTGGTAAATCATGTGATATTTTTGAAACCTTAAGACCGCACTATCTAAGTAAACCCCCAGACCATAGACCACCATAGTCTATATGCCTACCGTGTGATCCAAAATCCTGCAGAATACCCAGTTTTACTAGACAAATCATTAAAAATGACAAAACATCTTGTTTTGACCAAATTTCGATAAGCAGCATTACGAGAGCCCGTAGATCCCC